TATATGTTTTATAAAATTGTTGATTAAGGGCACTTTAGTCAAGTTCAGTTTTAAATTTCTGAGAGGGACTTGATTGCACCAAATTGAAACTTGAGGGATGTTTTTTGCACGAGAAGGGTGTGATATGCACTATAAGCATACTTAAGGGGTGTTTTTTGCACTTTACCCTAATTTGGATCAACATGTAATTGTATGGGTAGGAAATAGCATATAGAAGAGAAAAGAAGTGATTGCAGCATTGATGATCAAAGTGAATATGAAATTTTACTGGTGAAAGCGTTCGCCATCAACGTGGAGTTCAGCCACCGTTTTTTAGTACCCTCCAATCTCTCAAAAATATAAATTTTGGTTTTTCCACTATAATTAAACAAGAATTAAATGGTTGGTTACACATCATCATATACGGTTCTAATTGAAAAAGAATTGATAAAAACTAGGTATGGTGTTGCTTTAAAAATGATGAGAATATTTAAATGCTTGAAATCATGCAGAAATTTCAGCAATTGTTGATTGTGAAACACAATAAAGTATGTTCACACACTATACGAGTTCCTACTAACAAAATATGAACAAATAATATATGATATATTTCATGTTTAATTAGTCCATAGTTCATAATTCTTTGCATAAGCTTAGCATAAGTTAAGACATATTAGCTAATCCAGTGCAAAAACATGTGTAGAAATTTAGAACAAAATAAATTTTCTTTGCATTTGCCCCTCTGTATTTGTATGGAATCATAGGTATTATGTTTCTTTTTATAAGAATTAAGAAGGATTGGAAGGATATCTTGTTATTAACTATTATTTTTTTTTTAATTCCAATTAATCATTCAATTACAATTCAATTTGTAATCAAGGAACTACAAGAAAGTGATAAAATTTAAATTATAAAACCAAAACTAAGAAAAGCCCATGACCTTGTCAGATGCTAACCAATTGTCTGTATCAACATAAAATTACAGTAATTTTTTTTTTGGTTGTGGTGAATTATGCCACAAATTTCTAATTTAATTAATATGGTTTTAATTTTAGAGTTACATGTTATTTGAAAAAGTTTGTTAGGTGTTTTTGGGCTACATATATTTTTTTTGAAAGGTGAATTTCATTTATAAAATAAGTATAAAGTTACAGCCCATAAATGGGAAGTTAGCCCAGCTAACAAGTTACAGGTTCGGCCAAATGGAAGGACCCGAAGCCATAAGGCCCAAGATTACAGTTGTACCAAATGGTATTCGGTTTGGAGACCGTTACTGGTCTCGGCAACAAATCCGGTGGTGACCTTGGACTTGGAGGGTGACTCCACAATTCCTTGATCAGGTGGTTCAGCCGGTGGTTGCAGGATTGAAGATGGAAGCTCCCATTCACCAATTAATGTTCTGGTAAACGGGGAGTCTGTGATGAATGGGGACATTTTCCTAAAAGAAAGAAAAAACTGGAAACTCAAATTGGTAAAAACTACTAAATACAAAAATTGAAAGTAATTCAAATCCGTTTAGACTTTTAACGAAAATTTTGAAATATTCAAAATTGGAAAAAAGTGCAATTACCGAACGCTAAATGATTGAATTTGCAAGTTATACCATTTTTTTTTTTATCAGACTAAGGTTTTTTTGAGTAAAAATGGAGTTGTCGAAATTATCTCCCAAAAAAACTGTGTCAACGTCTACCGTTTGACCTTTTAACTGTTCAAATGAATTTCAAAATTATCAACAATCTGTTCCACACGTTACAACTTATTAAATTAATCCTCATCAACATTCATTCTTATTCTTATGGGAGCAGTCATTTCATTTACTATTTTTAATTGTCCCTTACAAATGATAATTTTTTTGTGATATGTATGTGCTACAACTAAGAATTCATGAATATGTCACTAATTGTGATAAATGATAGGGAAAAAAATCAATAAAATTAATTAAAAAATTATTTTCATTGAATTATGCAGTAAAAATTAATTATCAATCTCTTTTGAAGAGCATATATGATAACGGATTTCGCTATATTACAGTCATACGGTTCTGCTTCCTACACGACATCCGCAGCAGCCATTTCCACTATTGCAAACCATGGATAGGAGCAATGTAGCAAACTTTGAAAGTTACAAGTACAAAAGGAAATAAAATGGATTAGGAATTTTTTTGTGATCCATATCTCAAATGATGTGGAAGTACCTTTTTTATTTTTGATTTGGTAGAGGGATGTTGAATTCATTTAATTATTATAATCTAATGGTATGTTTGGAAGTGTCGAATGGACTATAAAATTTAAAATTGAAGTTAATTCAAAATTTTAATTAATTTTTTTTAATGTAAAATCAAAATAATCGATTTGGTGCTCCCAAATAAAACATAAGTTAAATTTGGAATATGGCTTTTAAAACACAAATAAAACCCTTGACCTAATTCTATTTCAACTATAGAATGATTTAATAATCGGTTGTCTTAGAATTAGAAATTCATTTACTATAGTACTCACTACTCACCATCAATTTATGTAGGAGAGAATTAGCTCTATTGTGATATAAAAAGTTATTGTATATATATATATATGTATCCCACCCTAGTAACTATTACGAATTTCTCATCAACTAAATTCTCTTTGTTCTTATACTCACTTCATTAGTATAAAGTGTAAAATATAATGTTATTAAAGAAGAAATATGATAGACCTGCTGATTACAAAAAGATTATTCATACAGCACTATTATTGTTTTTTTTGTATCCTCCAATCTCTCATAATAGAAATAGATTATTTCTATTCTTTGAGATATAAGATTGATTTCTACCTAAAATTAATAGGAAAAGTATTACAAAAAACTTTTAGTATTTTGTTGAGCATCTGCCAAATGCTATAACAAAAATATATATAATTGCTAAACATACATTAAGTGGTTGAACATCATGTAAGAATATCAGTGCTTGGTTCTGAAACAATTCGAGCTATATTCAAAATAAATGTGTTATGTTCGTACAAAGGAAGAAGGAATAGCGTGCATGATTATTTAATCCGAATCTTTCTTTTTAAAACACATTGTTATCAAGTTGTTGTATAGTGGCAATATATAAGCTAATCCATCCAAAGTTACAGTATTACAAAAAATGTTGTAATAGTTATATATGGGCTGAGGAATTTTGTGATAGTTCTATATATCTGATTCGCTCAGAGAATTGCCAGCACTGGGGAAATGATACAAATACAGAATCTGAGATAAACATTCTCAATGTTAGTGGAAAGTTTAGAATAAGTTCATTATGGACAAAATGGCCGTGTATGCTGATTGACTGAATAATTAGAATATATATATATATATATATATGATTAAGGTTTAAAAAACATCATTTCTGCGCGTTCAAATTTGATGATATATTCTTCATTAAATTTGTATAAATTTTTTTTTATTTTTATTTTTATTTTTATTTATTTATTTTTACACGTTCTCATACTAAACCATTTAACCGCTTTAGGTTGCCAAACAACAAAACAAAACTCTCAAGGGCAAAATAGCTTTAATAAATATTTTGTCTAACAGAATAAAAATAAATAAATAAAAAAGCATAAACCAAACGTTTGGAATTTTGACGAGTCTCAAGAAGTGTAATTAATTGTATATTTTAACGAGCCACCTTTTTTTTTTAGTTAAAAGGTAAGCTTTTTTTAGTTAAAAGGTAATCTTTTTTAATGAGCGACCTTGCCAACTTATTTTTTTCATGATAAGAAATAATTTTCAAATTAAAATGAGCAATTTTACAAGAGACACATTCGTGAGTCTGTGACTATGTTCGCAAACATTTTTACAAAAGGAATAACCTTTATTACATATGTTCCCAAACATGTTTTACAAAAGGAATAACCTTTATTACACATGCCTTTACACAAAAATAATAATAATAATAATAAAATTTAAATTAAATTAAAAAAAATTCCTCCAATTAAGAAGAACTTTGAGTGATTCAAATCAAACTTCTAAAGTTCTTGCAAATCTATGTCTATAAAAATCGAAGACTTTCCCCATGTATGTGAAAGAAAGCCCTCTAATTTCAAACTTATATAGGAGACAAAGTTAATTTAGAAACTCTTAGATGTTTGCATTACACATTTTTGATTAATATTTTTTGTTTGTTTGGTAAATCATAATGTATAGAAAGGAAAACAATATACCGGAAGCTGGAAAACAATATACCGGAAGCTGGAAAACAATATACCTTTGAATTATTGAAGTTGGGCTTTGAGAACTAGCAATGTCTCAGAGCTCCTATTCTGCTCATGGACATGGCTTTTACCCACAACCAACAACTAATGATGAAATTAGAGATTGGAAAAATCTTACTGTTAAGTTAAAATTCACGAAACAACTTATAAGTATATTTACTAACACAAACATATGAATAAATTTTATTAAAATGTCATTTTATTTTATTTGTCTAAGACTTCAAATTATATTGAGCGACCATGCACGAAACAAACCATACAACGTGTAAATATCTCATAACCGATGCATGTTTGCTTATATCTTTCTGCCATGAATGAATGCTTGCAAAACATAAAAAAAAGAAAAATAAAGTGGAGTGCCCTTCATCTCTCTCGCTCTCCTCTCAATCTTTTGTTTGTTTATTATTATTATTACTCCGTATTATTTTTAACCTGATTCTGAAATTGTTAATTTTATTTTTCTTATTCAATATGATATATTTGTAATATAAAATAAAAGAACAAAATAATAAATTAATTAAACTAATTTCTTTTCTCTCTCCTCTTTTTATCCAAACAATAATGTTATCATTTTCTTTATCTAGTTATTATTATCATTTCCTTTCATTTCATTTCTTTAAAAGGGTTTAGGGGTCTCTGCAGCCTAACAACTTCCTCCAAATGAATTGGGCAGCATGGAACATTAGGGGGTTAAACTCTACCCTCAAACAAATAGAGTGTAGATGTATTATCAGGAATTCTGATCTTAGCCTGTTAGCTATTTTGGAAACCAAGGTCAGCAGTAGTAATATGCATGCTATTCATAAGTTTATTGCTCCTCAGTGGAGTATTTCATGTAATTATGTGACTTCAGTATTGGGAAGAGTCTGGATTCTGTGGAATCCCCAAAAAATTTCTCTCATTTTTGCAGTGGAGCATAGCCAAGTGATTAATTGCTACATTGAATTGATTGATCTCAAGAAGAGAATTCTTGCCTCATTTGTGTATGCTGCTAACACAGCAGTTGAAAGGAGAGCGCTTTGGAGAGCTTTGAACTCGCACTGTTTATCCAATGAACCTTGGATTGTGATGGGGGATTTCAATGTCCTATTGCATGTCAATGACTCTTTTGGTGGGGCACTAAGATGGATAGCAGGAATGCATGAATTTAGGGAATGTTTGGAAAAAAATGGTTTAGAGGATTTGAGGTACTCAGGGGTATTCCACACTTGGTCCAATGGGTGCTATGGATGTGCAAACATATCAAGGAAATTGGATAGGGTCTTGGTGAATTATTCTTGGATGGCACTATTTACGCAAGCTGAGTGTGAATTCATGCCTCATGGCATATCAGACTACTCTCCAATGGTTGTTAGGTTTGGTAATCTCACCCTAAAGAGAAACGTCCCATTTAGATTTTTTAATTTCTGGACTCTTCATCCAGCTTTCGTTCTCATTGTCTCTTATGAATGGCAGAGAGAGTTCCATGGTTCTAAGATGTTTATTCTTGCTCAAAAATTGAGAGCAATTAAGAAAACCCTCAAACAACTCAACAAATCAGCCTATAGTGATATTTCAGCAAGAGTTGCTGCATGTAGAGTGGAGCTTTCTCTCTGTCAAAGAAGCCTGGACATGTTTCCACTGGATGATTCCTTAAAATTAAATGAGAAGGAGTTGGCGTGCAAGTTCACAGAACTCTCACTTGCTGAAGAGATGTTCTTCAAACAAAAGGCACAAGTTCATTGGCTCAAGGAAGGTGATCAAAATACTGCATTCTTCATGAGGAGTTTCAGCTCAAAAGCTAATAGAAGAAAATTGATGTCCATTACTGATTCAAATGGTCTACAACTGAATGGGGAAGATATGCAGCTTGAATTTCTTAACCACTTCAAATCCATACTTGGCCAAAGCTATCAGCAGTACACAGGTATGTCATCATTTGCTCACCTCATCTCCAAGAAAGTCCCAAACCACTGTATTCCAGACCTTACCTCAATTCCCAGTGACTTGGAAATCCAATCTGCAATCCTCTCTTTTCACCCCTTTAAGAGTCCAGGTCCTGATGGATTTAATTCATCTTCTTCTCTCATGCTTGGCCTATCATTGGTCAGGATGTTGTTGCTGTAATTAGAGATTTCTTTATCTCTGGAAAGATGCTTACTGAGATTAATTGTTCATATATTGCATTGGTTCCAAAGGTGCCTAATCCCTCAGTTGTCAGTGATTTTCGACCTATTTCCTGCTGTAATTTGATTTATAAAGCCATTTCCAAGCTTATAGCAATGAAATTAAGCCCTATTTTCTTAACACTTATTAGCCCTTGCCAAAATGCTTTTGTCAAAGGAAGGCACATTTCAGATAATGTCATACTGGCCCATGAACTCTTGAATGGTTACAATAAATCAAACCACCCTCCAAACTGTGCTCTCAAGATTGATTTAATGAAGGCATTTAATTTAATCCACTGGTAGTTCATTATTGATGCCCTTCACAGTTTTGGTTTTCCTGCAGCATTTGTGAATTGGATTTCGCAATGTATTACTACACCAACATACACTATTTCCCTTAATAGTGAATTATTTGGCTTCTTTAAGGGTAAGAGAGGGATTAGACAGGGGGATTCTATCTCTCCATTACTGTTTGTGCTTGCAACAGAAGTCCTTACCCTCACAATTAATCACAAAGTCAGGTCTAACCCCTATTTTAAGTTCCATTGGAGGTGCAAAAAGCTGTCTATTACGCATCTCATTTTTGCTAATGACATTCTGGTCTTCTCTTATGCTAACCTTGATTCTGTCCAAACCATTTTGGAAGCTTTCAAGTTGTTTTGCTCATTCTCTGGCCTGCAAATGAATCCCTCAAAATGCAAAGCATATTTATCCAATGTTGATTCTCAGTCCAAAGCCAACATTCTTGCACTTCTACAATTTGATGTAGGGTCTCTTCCAACCACATACTTAGGCTTACCACTGTCTGCCACAGCAATTAAAGCAAGGGACTGTCAAACAATGGTTGAAAGAATAACTAGAAGAGTTGGGAGTTGGACTTCCAAGTTCTTATCTTATGTTGGGAGAGCTGTCCTCATTAAGTCTGTGTTGGTTGCAATCCAATCTTACTGGTCTCAAGTTTTTTCTCTTCCTAAGAAGGTGTTGGATGATATCAACCATATCCTTAGGAGCTTCTACTGGTCTGGAACTGATTTGAAAAAGAGTGGAGCAAAGGTTGCCTGGGCTACAGTGTGTAGGCCTAAAATGCATGGGGGTTTGGGGTTTCCAGACCTTAAAATGTCTAATAGATTTTGGAAGTTGTGCCAGAGGAAGGAAAATTTGTGGGTGGCTTAGACCAACTGTTATATCCTCAAAGGAAGAAGCTTTTGGAGCTTAAAACCCTCTTCATTGTGTTCTGGTTTTTGGAGAGGTATTCTTAGGCTGAGGGGGATGGTAAAGGCATTATTAAGTTCAGAGTGGGGTATGGGAAGGATACAAGACTTTGGCTGGATTATTAGCTCCCTAATGGCCCCATTGTTTTACAATTAGGACTCAATGAATTAGAAATTCTTCAACTGGACACTAGGGTCACAGTTGATAGCCTAATTTCCAATAATCATTGGGTGGTTCCTATTTCAGCAACCTACTCACACTATTTTCAGTCATTATATTTCATTTCCCAGCTTTACTCTCTTCCTTCTCCCTCAGATCAGCTAGACAGTACTGTTTGGATGCCTAGTCCTACAGGTATCTTCTCATTTTCCCACACCGCAGCTTACTTTTCACCTCCTTCACCAATCTTCAATTGGAACAAGCTTATTTGGTTTAAGCATCACATTCCAAAGCACAGTTGTATTGCTCGGTTAGCAGTCAGAGGTAGACTTTTTACACTTGACTCCAAACCAATGCTCCACAAGCATTGTGTTAATAGGTGCTACCTATGTCATATGGAGTGTGAATCTATGGATCGCTTGTTCTTCAAATGTTGTTTCAGCTCACAGATATGGAGGTTCATACAAGAGGTTGCAAGATTTTACATTCTTCCTTGTGGTTGGACTGACTTGATTCAGTGGTGTTCAATACATTGGACTGCTCCAGAAAACCTATCACATAAGCTCTTACTGTCAGCAGCCATCTATTTCATTTGGATTGAGAGAAATGGAAGAGCCATTAGGAATGTCTCTTATTCACCTCGCCACATTATTGCTCAAATCAAGACATGCATCAGATCAAGACTTACAACAATCAAGCTTACAAGAAGTGCTGATTTGAAGCTTATCTCAACTGAGAGTGATCTTCTTGACTTGTTTATACAGGCCTGTTCCATTTCAAGTATTCAATCTTGGCTAGTCTCGTAGGTCATTGTTTTCCAGTTTAGTGTCGGATTAGCCTGTTGCTTCAGTGCTGCAGATGTGTATTTTGGATTTTTCATTTGTTTGTTTTGTTTTCTTGGCTGCCTTGATGTGCAGTGTTTTGTTGTCTTCCCTCTATTGGGCCCCTTGTACTTTCTCATTTCTTATATACAAGCTTACCATTAACAAAAAAAAAAAAATTTCTCTCCTATTTATCCAAACGAAACCTTATAATTCTCAGTATCAATGTAAAAGAATCAGTTGACTGGTAATGTTATATTGGCCATAAAACATGTCAGTACATTACTTAATTTGCGGTTTTGATTAGTGTCTTCTGTTTTCTTAGGCAACACCTATAAATTTAGTACCCTCCAATCTCTCAAAACTATCTGAACAAAATCGTATGATGCTACAAACTAATATTATAAATATTTAAAAATATAACTATGAAAGATAGAGATGTTAAAATATTAAAATATAACACTTCAAAAGCCTTATTGAGATCCCTCAGATGCAATAGCAAAACTATAATGTATAACATAAGTGCTTAGAATCATATGTTGGTTCACGGTATAAGTGTTCCTATAAATTAAATAAAGCATTCATTTCACCTGATTTTTTTGTTTCCATGTTCATCGTGTGTTCAAATTTGTGTAATACTTAAAAGCAGTCACATACACTTGAGACTTAAAAGCTGTCACATGCAAATATATTTGCTTAAACTTATGATTTGTGTGATTTCAATAACAAGAATAACTTGAGTGATTCACATAAAATTTGTAATTTCAAATTTAAAAGAAAGCTCTCTAATTTCAAACTTATATAGGAGACGAATTTAAATTAGAAACTCTTACATGAATTGTTTGCATTACACAATTTAGATTAATATTATTTGTTTCTTTGGTAAATGAAAATGTATAGAAAGGGAAACAATATACCGAAAGCTGGAGGGAACCTAGGCCCATACAAACGGACCCAAGAGACCATCAACCCTGATAGTTACCATACAAAATTCTCATAGTTGAGGCCATTACCGATTGATTGGAAAGTTTGATTTTGGATTTCGTTAGATCAAGCTTCATTTTTGTGCCTTTAAAAAGCTCATGTTTTGTGTAGATCAATCCAAAACCTTACTAAAATCAATCATGTGAAAGCGTTTTTTTATTCTTTTCTTTGGAAATTGCGTGCCAGTTAGTGATCCGCCAGGATCACAAACTAGGGAAGGGGCCGAGACTCGGAATTGCTCGATTCAGACATGAGTGCTATACCGCTAGATCATGATTAACAGTTTATAATATAAAATTGTTGGGAAACGTGCAAGTTTTAAAAACTTTTCGAGGGATTTTGATTCATAGATCTTGATTCATCACATAGAGACAAGTTTTATGTAAAAATAAAAATATGATGTATCATTCAATTAATGGATTGAATACTTACATCAAAGATCTGAGTAAACCTTTAAATCTTTCCTCTAAAGTGAATGTTCTCACTTATTGTAGATCCCTTAGCAAGATGTCTTCTCTTTGGATCTCCATCTTCTTAGTAATTGTTTTGCCTTTATGAATCACTCATAAACCTCCATGAATGGCCTTGCATTAGATGAGAACATAAACCCTAATTTTCTAGAGAGAGAAAATTTATTCCTTTTTCCTTCTACTAAAAATCACACTAAAAATATACATAGACCATGTATATTTATAGGCAACATAAAGATAAAGAAAAGGAAACAATAAATCATTCTCAATCTCTAATTCACATGTCTCAAATCTAATATGATTCCAATATCAAGTTGGGTTATGAGTGAGAATCCATTGGGCCTATTATTTTATTGGCTACAATGAATTAATAATTGGCCCGGTCTACGGATTCAATTCAATTAATTCATAAATTAATTTCTACTCCACTAAAAGAAATTAATTGAACTCCAATTAAATAATAAATAACCTCTAAGTCAATATTGCACTTTGACCCCTCTATGCATAATTAGTTATCGGATAAATAAAGCCATCAATTCGACTACTTAATTAATATATTTATTTTGGTACCTTTGATTATTTCAGGCTCGATCATAATAAAACATTTGTTTGACAAAAATAATAATTTAAATAAATAAATATATGATAAATCATTTTGTCTAAAAACACACGAAGGCCTTCGAATTTACTTTGTGATCAACCATAATCAATACAAAATAAATACAAGTAGCAATGATGCAAATATTAAAAATATAACCATCTAACTATTAATTACATAACTACCCAAAGTGTCGATGTAAGGATCCCGAAGAATCTGCCGAACAAATCAAAGTAATTATTAATTAATAAAAGAGTCTACACTTTTCTCATACTTAAGAGTCAAATGCCGTGACGGTGATAGGGAGCAATTGCATACGACAGCTCTCGCAATATATCTCAACCTAGCGTGGATCCAGTTCAAGTCTTAATTAATTATGATTCCATCTATAATTACCGACTGTGAACAATTTATGATTACTATTTATATTCATGTATTGATCGCCATCACATACATATATAAATATCTCTTGTAATCAAGAGGATACTATCAATTCTATAATGAATCGAAACATAATACATTGAATTCACCAATTATACAAAATATAAATATTTCAAAAACGTTAAGAACATATGTCACTTTAATCTAAACAGGAATTTGCTATGTCAAGACATATAAATCCCAACAAAAATAACATGTAATTTTAATTGTTTGCTACTTTTCAATCTTAATTGTTGGCTAAACACCCTCTCTTGCGTGTTCCACTGGAGTTAGGAAGCAGAACCAACCATTTTTTATTTTAGGCGACGTGGGACATAACACTCATAGACTTTTAATACCATATCCAGTGCGCATGCAACATTCTATATTATGATTACCTTTTTATTAATAGTAGTAATGGATCGTTACATTAAATCATCATTATTATAACAATATTGTAAATGTAACTATCATCTCAGGCTTACATGATTAGGCATGTGGTAGTTGAGCAATTAGAACCCAACTAATACTAAAAGAACATTATTAATTAATTCATACCTAACTGCCATATATATATATACACACACACACACAGATGTATGAATGATGTAAAGCACACAATCACCTGTCATTTATGTACTTGAATAATGTTAATTATTTTGCTGGTTGTGGCATGATTTTGAGCAGAGATAGGTCTATATCGAATCACCAAATTGTTCTTGATTTCTTTTAACAAGTTAATGTTGGGGAAGCATCCAACAATGGAATATGATGATGATAACACATCATGATTATGAAATCTACCACCACTATATATACTAGGCATCTAATCTTCATGTACACTGATCTTGGCACATCTTCCTTTATTTAAGTTTCTGATTCAAAGTGAGGTTTTAGCTTGTGGTGATGATGATTTGCTCATATGCTACTTTCTTTTAGGACTTTCGAGTCCTATAGAGGAGGCCATTATATAACCTTTCAGAGGCCTAGCTAGCTAGCACTGGTTTGTCATTGTTTATTGTAACTTGGCCACCACAAAACTCAATCATATAGCCTCCTCATGGCCTGAATGAGACTCATGTGGTCCTCATTCTCCTCCTACTAATGCGCCGGTCAGCTTCAAACTTCTTTGTTACAAGTATACTTTAGAGATCCGATCAGTAAATTTTAACACTTATGTATTGCATTATTATTTCATCTTTTGTGTGTATATATATATATATCAAATTTCTTATGGTATATTCACAAATACCTTGCAACAAAGGGAACTTATTCTCCTATGGTACTTTGATATATAAGTTTATATATAGAGAGATCACAGATTTCAAAATCTTCTAGCTCCATTGGTTGTTACTTAATTATTAGAGAAATGGAGATTTCTGGTTAGAATAAGGCTTAACAATAAAGATGGTGATCATAACAGTGATGACGTGAAGAGTGACGACGATGATTGTAATTAATGAATTAGAAAAGAGATGGAGAGGTGCAGAAGATGGTGGTGTTTGTCATAAGAATGGAACATGATATTTTTATGAAAGTGAGCAAACAAATCATGATTTGGAGCTCCAGAGAGACAAGGAAAGAATATATATTCTTCATAATTTCATTTCAGCTTTCTGTTTTTGGCATTCCAACATGTAACATAATTGAACTTGTACAAGTTGTAAAATCATTTACAAATAAGCAGAAGTGGATAGATTCATATACTCAATTGATGAGGACTAACTTTCATATATATCTATATATACTTCTATAAAACATAGCAACAAGAAACGCAAGCTAGGTGACAAAAATGCTATATATATAAGCCATGATTGTAAATATGCCCTCTTTTCACATAGTGAGTGAGTGAGAGACAGATTTGGGGGGTTTAGGGAAGGAGAATCAGTCTAGTAATTATCCTCTTTGTTTGGCAGCAACTTCAAGGATTAATGACTTCTTTTTCTCTTAAACTCTCGTATTTGTTTTTCATTTTAGTAAACCTAATGAGAGGTGTCAAATTGAGGTTTAATATCTTGAATCCAGTTTCAGTTAGATTAGCTAATAATCTTTAACACCCATAACTTTGGTGAAGATTCTACAGTCAAATTGATCGAAGTTGTTGAATGCCTTAATTTAAAGCATACATTGGAGCTCAATATATAATAGGAGTAGTACAATAAAACTATTTTTTTCCCCTGAAAATTAAATACATCCCAAAGGCCGCCTTAGTTGTAACCTCACAAGCAAAAGATATTATAAAGGAGGTGAGCAAATCTAGCATAGGATTAGGATCCATAAAAAGTGATTAATTTGCTACTATGTTGGTTCCATGCTGGCAAATGTGGTGGCTAATATTTTACAATCAATGAGAAAGCTTAGAAGTGAAGTTGGAGACAAACATATAATTATAAGAAGTCTTGTTGGTGGTCAAAAGAATAATCTCCCTTTCACGATCATTTTTATGCATTAAGACAACTTGCTTGCCTTTGCGACTCACACATCACTCTTGGACGTAGGAATATAAGATATGCCTTGTTATAATATAATTGATAATCTTGTTGAAGCTTTTTCAGAACCAAGCATCCATCAAAATCTATAGAAGATATCCAAATACATGTAAACAAGAAGATATGGTTCACATACTGAATCAATATTTCCTACTCTGTGTAGATAATGTCCGTTTTACGCATCCACATATAATCAACAATCTTTTTGAAGCTTTTTTAGGACCTAGCATCCATCAAAATCTACAAAGATATCCAAATATATGTAAACAAGAAGATATGGTTCACATACTAAACCAAATCATTCTACTCCTTGCATATAATGTTCCTTTTAAGCAACCACACATATAACTGTCAACAATCTCTTCCCTAAACGATGTTGAACAAATCACCCCTTCTTAATTGGGACCTAACATTCTTGTTGGACTTACCCTCATGGGCTTATGCACGCTTCCCTCATTTTTAATTGGGGATTGACTATGATACCATCTGCCTTAACTTCCTTTATCTTATGTAGATACTGTCTACTTTGAGCGCACATGAAGAGTGTACACGATTTTCAAAACACGTCCACACAATTATGAGGCATGCATCCACACATATAAATGCCAACAACCTCTTCCCCCGACAATGTGAAACGTCACACATACATCACAACCCTATATGTTTACAATCATATATATCGAAAGAGACCTAATTAATGCATCAAAAAAAATTGCAATGGTACTGTTGATGGGCAAGTGTAAACATTGTGTAAAGATATATATGCCATTTGCTGCAAGTATTTACAATGTACATGACAGAGGACCACAGAATTTAGCATATGGTTATAAAAATATAGCTGCCAAGAGAGAGGAATATATGGAGATGGGTGTGGCTAACAAAATGTGAAAAAAGAGGGTGAAGCAACTTGCATGATTGTGATAGTAAAAATTACAATATATGAATAGTGTTAGTTTGCATATTCAAATCCCAAATGCATCTTTCTTTACAGGTGGGAAAAAGGAGAAAATCTTTTCACAAGCAAAGCTTAAAAGCTTCTCTCAAGATATATTCTTGTGGAAGGATTTGTTTCACAACAAAAGAGGTGAGCCGTATCATTAATTGGCTCAGGTTCTTATTCCTCAATCATTTGAGGTTTCTGCATATATATATATACTGTGATGATCAAATCAAAAGCAAAAAGATGAAGGTCTCTGTTAACAATCACAACCCTTAAGCAAAGGAATCTTTCTAACCAAGTACTGTATTTTTCTTTCACGTCCAAAAGGCTATGGTGAGAATAAAGATAAAGGAAAAGGTAATTACTTGTGACTACCTACTCATTCGAATTAATATCCCTATTTTTGATAATAAAACTGTATAAGATTCGTATATTTATAATTATAAGATGAAGATTAGATCGAATAATGACAGTCTAATACCTGTTTAATTAATTTTCTTTCTTCTTTATACAGAAGATGGTTTCTGTGTAAATTCCTCAAACATTGCAATATATATAGCACAATAATAGAAAGAAAAAAAAGTTTTAAGAACGGTGAACACACTGATGAGACACATCAAACATGCAGGAGTGTCATAGTATGGAGTTGTTGTTTGTAGCACAAGTTTAGTAATTACTACTTCTGGTCCAAAATAAATGTGAGTCACAATTTCCAAGATATTTTGAGATGGAGGGAATAATATTTTTGTCACCAAATTCTTTGATGACCATTATCATGAGAGCATTCTTTTCCAAGCTGCTACTCAGACTGAATCACTTACAAGAGTGGTGAATCCCACCTCTTTCATGTCGGATAGGCCCAAAAAGTATTTTTCTTGTCATGAGAGTACGGTACCATTCTAGCTAGCACAAGCACCTTGCAACTTAAGAGTGAAGAGGAAGAAGAACCTTCATAATAGGTCCCCCCTGCTCAAAACAAAGAAGGGATTATCTCAGAATCTCCGAAGGTGATGGAACAATAAGCTAAAGATCAACTTGCATGCCACTATTTAAATTTCGGATTTTTCATGACAAAGTTCTTAGTCAATTCCATGCCTCCATCACAACAATTTGATTCCAAGTTTGGGCCCTTGAAAACAAGGGCGACGCAGACTACTAGACTGTCGTCATTATTGGATCACAAGAACAATTAAAACATACTAGACTTTAATTCTACATGTAAAGGGATTGTTTTTCCTTTTAAACATGTAACTTTCTTATTGCAACTGACCAACTTCCTTCTTCTTCCTTTTTTTCCCATTTTTTTTTTTTTTTTTTTTTTGTAATTGTTTAATTTAAGATAGATCAATTTTCTCTTCAATTTTTATAAAAATCTTGCTTAAAATATAATAAAAGAAAAAATAATCAATCAATATAAAGTTTTTACATCTACTATTTTGTTCAAAAACATTATTTTATCTTATCATTTTTCAACTTGATTATGTTTCCATCGTTGCAAAACACCTGTGATGATTGTAACTAAATGCGAACAATGTTAGGGAGTTCAATAATCATAAATTGATAACATAATGATAACTTCAGTCGGACTTCGCAAAATAAACAATATCAAGACAAAAATGAGCATACAAACTGCTATTGCTTTATTTATATAAGGAAAACAAAAGGTGTACAATGCATAAAACTTCCATATCTGTGCAAAAACATAATCTTAATCCTCCATTCAGACCAAAACCAAACCAGTTCATTAAACAAAATCACCAAAGACTTTGTCGCCAATATCACCACTACTTCGACAACCTAAAACAGCAAATAGTTCAATAGATAGCATATGTGACCACCCCATGTAAAATTTCCAAAACGCAGAAACCCCACTATTCAAACATTCCAGGAACCCTAGCAACAGCTTTGCAAACCAAGGGGTGCTTCATCTCCATGGAGAGTTTGAGGCTCTCAGACAAGTCCACACCATTATCAGAAGCAACCCATTTCAAGTTCTGAAGCAACTGGGCTAACCAAAGCTGAACAGTTGCTAGCCCCATGGCTTTACCGGGACAGACCCTCCTCCCAGCGCCGAAAGGAGCCAACCTGAGATCAGACCCCATAATGGGAACCTCCTCCTCCATGAACCTCTCTGGTTTGAACTCATTTGGCTCCGACCACACCTGCTCGTCGTGAGTAATGGCCCACATGTTTACCATAGCAGTGGTGCCAGCCGGAATGAAGTGCTGGCCGACATGGGTGTCGTGGATGGCGAGCCGAGCCCAGGACAGTAATGGTCCTGGTGGGTGCATTCGCAGTGTTTCCTTCACTATGGCACTGAGATAGGGAAGGTGAGGTAGGTCGGAATCGGATACTGGTCGGGAGGTTCCAACCACAGTGTCAATTTCAGATTGGGCTTTGGCTTGGATTCCAGGATGTAAAACCATTCTTGCAAGTATCCACTCTAGGAGTATTACCACTGTATCAGTCCCCCTAAAGATCATTTCCTGCAAAAATACAGAAACCTCCATTCACCCACAGTACATTTGTATATTTGATGATAAAACATGCAGTATTAATAAATAAATATACATATATATAGGGAAGGTAATCGCTTAATTTCTGAAAACAGACCATTAAGAACTCAGAATTTTATTTATGATATAAATGTAGAAAACAGTAAAAGCATCACGAACAAAATGAGAAAGGATAAGAAAATATCAGCCTTATCATCAAACAAAAAAAAAGAGAAAACATTCAGATTCTCTATATCTTTGGAACCCAGATAAAGAACAGAACAGATTCAATTCAAGCATCTGGTTACAACAATCTCAGGTACAATGGTAACACAAAAAAGCAAAATAGATTTAAAGATGATCAGCAGCAATCTAAAAAATTCATAGAATCCCATAAAGTAACGTAAAAATAATTCTAATAATGATAAGGAAAGGAACGAAATATAGAAATACACAAGTGCTGTTTTCTAACATCAGTTTTCATGGTTTTCTTTTCTCAAAATAGTTGAAAAACTAAAAAATAGTAAACAATTGAAAATTCATTTATTTGAAATTCTCATTGAGGTAAAAATAATGCATAATTTAGGAGAATATCTATTGTATTGTCTCGATTGAAATCTGTTTGAAGGAACTGAGGCAAATATTAAATCATCATCATAAGCACAATAAAAGCAACACAATTCACAAACTAAAAATTAAAGGTTGACAAGAAAGGGTAATAAAAAAAATTACCCAAAGAACTGCAACCATGTCAGAGTCATTGAGTATGTTCTCCATTTCTAAATCAAGCAAGACATCAACAAAATCAGCAGAGCTCTCATCAACACCACAACCATTTTCAACCCTCTTCATCCTATGCTCTTCTATGATCTTCCCAACAAAAACATTCACCTTAGCAACCAAATCTTTGCATCTCTTTCTCACTCCCTGCAAATCCAACCAGCCCAGAATAGGAAAATGGTCACTCCAGTTGAAAATACCAAGCAATTCATACCCTTCGCTCACTAAACCCTCCAGTTCACACCCATCCCCAACACCACCAAACTCGTAACACCTTCCAAACACACTCATCATCACATTGTTCAGAGACCCAAAATGCAAAACTCTCTTTACATCAATCTCTCCATTTCTCTCCATCAAATCCATGATTTCACCAACCATTTTGATCCCAATCGTTTGCCGAAACTCCCCAAAACAGCCGATTCTCTTGGGACTGAACATATGGGTCGCAGAAATTCTCCTCAAATTCCTCCAATACACACCATATGGAGCGAAACCCATTGCTCTGTGGAAGAGAAGCTCGTAGGCAGACTCTTTAATGGGTCGATCGGCGAAAGCCGAGCTGTAGAGAATGTCTCTGGCGGTCTCGGGTTCGCTTGAAATGATGAAACGGGTGAACCCAATCGAGAACGCCATTAACGGCACGGCCTTAAAACTCTGAGCGAGCTTTGCGAGGACTCTGTGAGTCAATGAGCCAGTGAAAGCGAAGACCAGACCTAGAAGAGGAAGACCAGAGGGTCCTGGAATGGATGTTTTAGGCTGGCCTCTGATTCCAACCTTGGAGAGAGCCCAAGCGAGTCCACCAGGTGATAACCAGAAAGCAAACGAAGCAACAAAGAGGAGAACACAGAGAAACAGCTCGAAACTGAGTACTGAGGAGGAATAACCTGTTTGAGGAATGCAGAGATAATAAAATTCGGATGACATTTTGGGCTGTTTTAGAGAGAGAAAGAGGGTAGTTCAGAAATGGATGGAACCAGTGGGGAATTCTAACGAAAGAGAGAACAACGGAGGAGAGAGAAAGAGTGTGTGTGTGTGCAGTAGGAAGTGCCGAAGTGGCTAGCAGAGTGAGGAGACGAAGAGCGTGAGAAGGCGGTTAAATAAGGATTGCTTGTCGACTGAAATTACTTTTCTGCATCTGAATAACGAAGTCGTTTCCATTTTCCCCTTTTTTTCTGGCAAGCATGTTGTGGCGACTTAAAATAACTGTTACAAATTTTTTATAAAGTTACACGTTTTTAGTGTGAAAAAACGTGTACAAGCCAACCAATCAAATTGCTCATATTCAAATAATTCTCTACAAAATTAAAATATTTTAAAATAAAATTAAGCAAGTTAATTAAATTTACTTTTGAAAAAACAAATATAAATAAATAAATGGACGTGACGGTTCACTTTGATCCAAATGGTCTGTTTGGTTAGATAGAAATTTTTGATGAAAAGTGAAAGTGAAAGAAAGTGAAGGAAAGGAAAAGAAAATTAAGTTTATATTATGTATTTGATTAGTAAGAAAAATTTTCAAGAAAGTTGTGAAAAAATATTGTTTTGTGAGTTTGGAAAGAATGAAAGTGAAAAGAAAGTGCTTGTAGTTCACAAAACTACCCTTTTAATTATAAGATTACTTTGTACTCATACTATCATATCTCCAGATTTATAAACAAAATTAAAATTTTAAATTCAAAGATAAATTAATAGACATTATAATATTTGTTTTCTAATGTTTAATAATTAGATATATGTGATTATAGGTACAAGTTTAATTAATAAAAAAATTTGATCCAAAAATTTTTGAGGATAAAAGGTTAAAGTTAATATATATACTTTTAGGCATAAAAAAATAAACAATAAAAACTTCAGTCTAATAGAAATAAAATACTTGTAACTAAATTAGTTTGGTACATATAATATACGTAAGGTTAAAACTAAATTAATTTGGTATATCTAATATACGTAGAGTTAAAATTAAATGAGTTTGGTATATTTTAGTAGTTGAGTCCTAAAGTCGTAAGAAGTGTGAAGACCTAAGTTTTATAAACCTGGTGCATCAGTGATGACCAAAAGATGACCCGATAACGGATTCGAAATGTGAAAGCGAAAAATGATCAAAGCAAAAGAAAAGAAAGGTTATGAGCACCAGTTCGGCACTCATCAACACTGAGCACCCGTTCTGCACTCATACAAGGTCGGTCGTTCTGACCTATATGGTTAGGCGTTCTGACGTTCTGACCTACATGGTCAAGCATTCTGATGTTCTGACCTACATGGTCAAGCGTTTTGACCTACATGGTCAAGCATTCTGACGTTCTGACCTATATGGTTAAGCGTTCTGACGTCAAGCGTTCTGACTTACATGGTTAGGTATTCTGACCTACATGGTCAAGTGTTCTGACGTTCTGACCTACATGGTCAAGCGTTCTGATGTCAAGCGTTTCAGACTTACATGGTCAGGCGTTCTGACCTACATGATCAAGCGTTCTGACGTTCTGACTTCCGAACGATGGAACAGAAGGTAACAATTTGTCGAACGACAAAACAGAAACGAGAAACAGCCGAACGACAAAACAGTAAGGAAATTTAAGGCAACCTTGAGGCTATACATGCATTCCCAATGATCCAAAACAAGTTTAAAAACATACTTGTGAACTTCTAAAACTAATGGCTGTTAGCCTCATGTTATACATACAAAATATGCATCAAAAAGTGTACTTAGATACATATTACATATCAAGGAAGCCATCTTAGCTTCTAAAATATCATACATCCATGGTATGCAAAAAATATATATATAACATCAAAAGTAAAGCATACTAAACATTTGCATGGCAAAATACAATAAATGTTCTAAATTGCTCATAAGCCTCTGAGGATAATGAGCATCCGAGAACATAATCTCCTTACCTGTAAAATAACCCAAACAACTAAGGTGAGTAATCAAGTTACTCGTAAGAAGAAGCATATACGTATACCCTAAAATTTTAATATCATTGCAGGATCAATATAGACGAATATAAGGGATCATTCCACTTAACGTCTATATTCAAGGTGTTCTAAGGGATCATCTTAAGCTGACTTAAATGATTCTTTAACAACACAATATCAAAATCAATGTATTTAACAACATCAATTTGCCAATAGCAAAAATTGCAAGTTACAATTAAACGTTGGTTGTCAACTTGAAATTGAATGCGAAATCAATTAGTGGAAAACTTGGACATCAAATCCAGGAGTAAACCAAGACCTCAACGGTTATTCCGGGCACTAACCTGCTAGGAATACCACCCTAGTATGCACTATAAATGGGGAGAACTCATACCTCCAGCACTAGAGCCAAACTCTAACCATGTCACTTGTAACAATGTCACAAGAGAATCCAAAATCATAATTAAGTTTAAAAATTCATACACTATAATTAAGGAATATAAACCACCTTCCATGCATAAGTATTTTGAAACCATTCAAACCATATCTTAGGGTTCTAAGTCTAAAATAGCATACCAAATGACAAGTCCTCTTTATGGTATAATGTACAATATAACACCACCAACTTATCAATTTAAATCATGCCTCAACAATAAACTTTATGTACTAAATCTTAACATTATAGTATTAAGCTTCTAAAATAATTACAATTAGTAATGCACAAGAATATAGAATTATCATCACAATAAATATAGCAATTCAAGTCAATAAGAATTATATATGACGTAATCCTACACAATATAAATACATATCATACATGCTTAAATCAATAAATCCTAAGTCAAATGTGAAGATTTCCTATAATATGCAGGACTATGATATTAAAAGTACGTACACAATATATATTAAACCCTAAAGGACCATAAAACATTTAAAGCATAAACATACTACCACCCCTACCTCAATAGAGAATTGAATCTCTATAATTCAAAGCAACTAAGCTTAAAATGAAAAACAAAACTATGGTTTTGTAGAGGAGAGTGAGAGAAAACTTTTACTTCCCAAGGTTAAGGTAAGTGGAAGGAGGCCAAAATGATAGAATAAGCTTTTAACCAAGCTTTCTTCAATGTAGGCTAGGTTCGGATGAGAGCAAAGGGAATGAAGATGAGATAAATGAAAAGTGGTGGGTGGAGGATCTAGTAATCCTCCACTCACTAGGTGTTCTTACACTATCTCTTACACACACATAATGCAATACTCAATTTAGTGCCTACATTTGTCACCAATCCATGGCTCCTTCCTAGACTTAATCCTAAGCCTTCACTTGTCAACCATCTAAGCTAACAAATGCACCTATCCTAGGCCAAAAAGTAGGTGAATCTCCACCCTCCAAATGTCAAGAGATTAAGCTTCCAAGTCACTCCACCCTAATGCCAACAAGTGGCATCATGAGAGTGTGACACTTGTCACACTTTTCAAAAATTACAAAAAGGTCATTTTCCAAAATATCTTTCAAATTAAATTACAAAATGGTCCCTAAAACGGAAAATAATTATTTTACATAATTACTCTAAAACCCCAAAAATAAAGAATGGTTCCAAGAAGTTATGTATTCAAACCATTTATGAAAAAAGAAAGCAACTAACATGTTTTTCTTCAAAAGTAAAAATGCAAAAATTATGGAAATCAAATATCATGGATGCATGAAAAGCCGGAATCAAATCCGAGCACGAAAAGTGAGGTTATGCAAAGAAAAACGATAAACGGGAAAAGACGAAAAAGGGAAAAGGACGAAAAAAGAAAATCACCGAAAAGGAAAATGAAGGAAAATGACCGGGTCATTACAAGAAGTCTATATATATATATATATATATAATTTAAAAACTTATATACCTAAAGACACTAACCTAGTTTTTTAAAAACTTATATACCTAAAGACACTAACCTAGTTTTTTACCCAACACTTTGTTACTAAATACTCAGATATATATATATATATATATATATATATATATATATATATATCACTCTCAATCATTATTAATTGTGGAAGGAAAAAAATAAAATAAAATTTTAATTTTGATATAAAATTATATACAATTAAATTAGTATTTTCATGATCTTATAAGTAATTTACAAAAGAATGAAACTCACTTGTTATAGAAGTTTGCGGAGAAAGTGAGGAGGGTGGCATGGGCATAATAAGAAATTAAGGTGTGAAGGCACCACTTTCACGGGAAAGTAAAATTTCCCTGTGTTTTATGTCAAAAAAAATTTGAGGAAAATTAAGCAGTTGCAAGAAAATTATTTTCCTGAAAATTTTCTCTTTCACGCTAACCGAACTCCTAAAAAAGTTAAATATTTTCTTTTTCTTTTCCTTTCTATCTACTTCATGCTAACCAAACAAACCCAAAGAAGAAAAAAAATAGGTCAAAAGATCAAGTTATGCAAGACAACCAATTGTGACCATTCTGATTAATCAAAAGAAGAAAACACATTTAGAAAATTAACTAAAGCATGTGATCTTGTTGTAAAATAATCTTGATATGGAATTTACACCTTCTAATTCCATATTTGTTGTGTTTAGGTACTCTTGCGCCTTATTATAATTTTTATAAACATTCTTTTTCATACCCTAAAATGTCATTGCATTTTTTAATAATGTCATCACCAAAAAAATTCATAAAATTAATAAAAATAAATTTCCTTCTCTACCAACTGGGACATAGGAAAATTATAAATCATAGCATATCTAGATGATCGTATTAATTATTTATATGGGTTAATTTTTTTTACAAATATAAACTTAGAAGAAATTTTAAGTGCTCTATTAATTGGTATTAATGTCGGTAAAGAGTGGGATTGTTGTGCTATTGTATTTTGTTTCTTAATTTAAAAAAGTAAAAATTGGCTTGTTGATGCATAATATTACTTGAAAAATATGTAAAGAATGATGTGCTATTTTGGCAGAAAGATGGAAGCTAGCAAATGGCATTACTAAGAGAACCAAATGAGTCAATAACGAAAACATACACAATGTGCTCGGTGTATCGGGTACATTGTCGTTTTTCATGTGAGCTCGTGTGCATGTACAACACGAACGGTACTGATATGTCCGTAAATTTTTTCATCAATAGGATTACTTCAACTCTTTTCTCTT